CATGAACATGTACTACTTAAAAACACAGATAATCTGGAATCAAATAGCAGTTACCAAAAAAATATTGCTTCCAATTGGAACACAAACATGAACATATTTCGTGCAAGTTCAGAAAACAATTCAAGTTTTTCCGACAAAAACAGATGCAAAGGTGAGTCTGGTTATCATTCAGTAAGTTTCTCTGAACAAATCATGCAGCAGCAATAGTGACAACACATCAATTAACTATATGAAGGTCATATAAAAACAGAGTTTAAATCATCACACTGTACTACTTATTTACTGCTATCTGTAAGCATCTACAAACCCTATATTAGTGTTTACATCTGTGAGTACTTCCTTTGATTATAAAAATTGCAGATTCACACTGATCATATATTTGCAGCATCCAGTAAAGCCAGAGAGGGGATGTGACGTATATCAGCTGACCTGTGCAAGTGCTCGGAGACAGCTGTTAGTGGAACGGCTGAACCTAGCGAGCCATGAACCTAGATCTCTTCGCCAGCCATCGCGACCTGAACAGATCCAAGAAATTTCAGAGTAGCTCAAAGCTCGACTCATAAGTTTGGCAAAAACGAATAGACCAAAAACACAGAGTCTGATAGATCAGAAATAGAGCAAGTCATTTATATAGAAAGCAACACACTCACAGGTCATTCATAATAATTAGATCAAGTCATTTGTACAAAAAGAGACTAAAGGTTGAGTAGTGCATTAGAGGGTAGCCGCACAGTGCAGGAAACATACATTAGAGTGTAGCCGTGCACTGCAGAAAACATATCCCACTGCTATGGACAAAAGTGTAGAAAAGCACAGTCCACTCATTTTGTTCTGTGAGTACATCCTTCGACGATAAAAGTCTCTACGAATTTCAAGATGGTCCAACATGATATAAAGTGACCCTGGCCAAGAATATCACAATAGTGTGGTCAACCTGAGTCGTCGAAAATGATTTAGAGACAATATAAGTAAGTGGTTGATATATATATAAGCAACAAAAGAAAGTACATGCGAACGACAACAGACAAATTCCAATTGGATTTCTTGCACAAACAGAAATGCATGATACAAAGCAGAAGTTGATAACTTTCGGCAAACCTTCATTGGTGGACGAACCCAATAATAACTTAAAACTTTGACATCATATTCTGCTTGGTTTCTTTATAATTCTTTTTAACATGAGAATGCAAGAAACTCATTTCCTTGTGAAACCCCCATGGAGTAAGATCCATAGATATGGCATGTCACTTTTTCTTGTTGCTAGAAACATGTATCATTTCCACTCCCTTCTCAATGAAATGAAACGCAAAGGTCCCTTGCGTTTTCTCAAAAAAAAAAACATAATAGAAGTTGCAGAATATATAATGCGTAGAGCCACACACAGCAAAAGTTAACTCTTAGTTATAACTTTTTCTAAGTATTATCTCTGAATGCCTAGCTGCTGGCTGCAGTACATATAAAGCTCGGCAAGTATGGAACGCACTGATGATAACTACAAGAAAGTTAATTAAGTGGCTTGCGTGTTGATGACTTGCAACATCTTCCCTAGTGAGTTTCTCAACATTCATGAGCTCAAGTATCCTTTTCGGCACACCTTTTGCATAAACATGAAAGAATAGTGAGTAACAAAGTTACTCCAGAAAAAGGTAGAAACAGAGAAGGGAGGTACTGGTAAGTTCTTACTGTCAATTCCAAGATGGTTGACAGCAGAAATGAATTTTCTATGCACAGAAGCGGCGTCGTGCCCAGGATCAGCAGGACGACCAAGGACATGCACATGTATAGCAGCGGCTGCATGCCCAGGATCAGCACCACGACCAGGGACACGGCCACGAACACCCCTACCACTTGAGCGAGGTATGGCGCCATGCCCAGCAGCAGGCACCTGCCGAGCGCCACGCCTGCGCCTGGCGATAGGCTCAGCTCCAGCAGCAGGCACGCACCAACTCACACCCCTACGCCTGTCACGAGGCTCATATCCAGCGGCAGGCACCCGGCAAGCAGCGACATGATCAGAAACAGGAGCACGCCCTATATTAGAACCTCCACGGCCAGTGGCTCGTCCATGACGACCAGCAGACCGCCTGCGGCCACGCCCACGACCACCTACCAACCCAACACCATGCCTTGAGCATGAGCCGCAACCGGACCACGCGCCATGTCAACAAACCAACATCATCATACACACACGCTCGAAAAATAAGAAGCAAAAACCACGTAGGTATACATCGGAGCATAGCAGCAACACACCTTGTTTTAGAATAATTTATAGAAAAGTCATTTGGACACGACTGAGTAAGATGAAAGTGGAACTTGAAGAATAATAAACTATGAAAAGAACTCTTGAGAGACTAAATATCAAAATGATCGAGCAATTGGACATTAGTACCTTGGGTCTAGCTGCTTGTTAACAAAAAGATCCAGTGGAGTTATAAGATGTGCCGACGACCTGGATAGATAATTTAGAGAAAGATTATTTGTGGTTGATTTTGCAATGAAATTTCAAGACCGACTTTTGCATTGCATTGCAGCGCGGTGCTGATTGCTCGTCTAAAAAATTGCACTACCTCTTAGAAGTATATGGACTATTTCCTTTGAATCAACCATTGATCTGAATCTGTGAATTTGTGCTTTTATGAGTAGGTCTTGTGCAAGGAATATACTAAGGTGTGTAGTTTCCCACACGCAAAAGAAAGAAAAAGACCCATCTGCCTTCAGCTAGAGGGTGAAGCGAAGCCATTTGACTTTGATGTCAGGTTAAAGGTTCGGCGGTTGAGCGAACTGAAGTCCATTACCAAGGGGTGGGTGGCATTTGCGAAGAAATATAAGATGAAAGAAGGATTCTGCCTTGTCCAACGGGACATCAACAGTAGGAGGCTTATGTTTAAGATTTATCTGATTAGGTCATGCCTTGTGCATCAGAACATCAACAGTAGATGGCTTATGTTCAAGATTTATCTAATTAGATCAGAGTGAGCTATAAATAGCTAGATAAACTGATGTAGAGTGTAAACTACACAGCCTGCGATGACACCAAGTTATATTAGTAACCTTGTCAATGGCAACATCCGTTTAGAAGCAGCACTGTCCACTTTTAGTATCCATGCATGTTTAATGTAGTTGACTGATGCCACCAAAACAATTGACCATTTCCAGGTACAAAACTGACCTGCCCAGAATGGAGGGACACCACAAAGAAGGATGTAAAGAATCACTCCTGCACTCCAAACATCAACCTCTTGGCCATAGTTTCTCTTAGATATCATGCCAATGTACACATCTGGAGCCTGTAACAAGGACTTCCAACAATCTCAGTGAACTGTTCACCTACACATCACCGAACAATTAGCAGATTAGGCAAACAATGCAAAGTAGAAATAGACAGCATAAGACATTTTGTATAACTAAATAACACACATGATGACAATCCTATGGCCTCAGACTTGTCTTAGATATCATGCCAATGTACAGAGACATATCTATAAAGCACTGAACCCCACAGCATCTGCTGCACCAAATCTGAGAGAAAAGGAAGAAGAGGAGAGGGTGAGAGCCAGAGCGGATCGGAAAGGAGGAGGGTGAACTCACCGGAAGCAGAGGAGGCCCAGCCCAATGCGCCCCTGCAAGGCTGCACCTCGTGGCCAGTGGGAAGCAGAACCACGCGTGGGGGCGAGGGAGGAGACGGAGAGGAGCCGTCAGAATCCACCGGAGCCGCGCCGGCGGCGAAGGCGCTGCCTAGGCTGAAACCGTAGCCATGGCTGAGGGTCGCGAGCGAGCGTGAGAGGCCGTGCGCCGTGGTTCTAGCCGGACAGGAAGAAGAGGCGGAGCAAGGGGAGGTCATCGGCGCGGGGAGGAGGCGCCGGGCAGCGTGAGGTCCGGGACGGGGGCCGATGCGAGCGGCAGCGACGGCAGCGGCACGATGGTGGATCCTGATCCCCTGACGTACGGCCACCTGACGTTGGGCCACTGACGCGTGGGTCCGGGTCCACACGTCAGCGAGTGCGCCGTACGTCAGAGGAGCTGCGTCCCACGATGGTAGGGTGTACGGGAGATCGAGGGAGGTCGAGTTGGGGATTGGTCGCTCCCCCTCGCCTCATCGACCCGCAGGCCAATCAGCCACCAACACGTTTCCGCGGGCCCATGAAAAATCCCAGCTTTGCCCTCGGTGAGATCTGATAATTACAAGCGGTGGCACGAAGTTTTGACACTGTTTCGATCTACAGTGACTCGCCTCGATCTAACGGACTATATCTGCTCATCTCGTGATCAGGCGGATGAGAACACATCAAGGACCAGATCCGACGGCCAGGAAGCGCTAAACTATGAGGAGGCTGGGTTCCTCCCGGTATGTATCTTACGTGATACTAGGGCAATAAAAGTTCAGACTAGAAGTTAGTGATATTGCCAGTATTTCAGTGTTACCACTGAATAGTAAGAAGGATTAAGAGACACTGTAACATTCTAGTTTATTCAAGGACGATTAAGTGACATCTCCACTGACCTCATCCTGGTCCACCATGCTATCCACTCATTTGCAGTCCATCGATACTTGTCTGCCTATCTTGAGGCACAACAGGATGGCAATATTCTTTGAAATTAATTGGTTCACCCCGCCCTCATTTTCTTACATACCAAGTGCATCTTAGAATTTCCAACTCAATTTTTAAAGATCCCACATAGTTAGCAGTGGTAAAAATGAAGGAAGGTTAGGGGCTAACAGAAGTTAAGAGAGAACATAATGAGACAAGTATCATCACTTCAAGCCTCCTTCCAAATACGATCGTAAGGTTGATCCATGATCTGTATGATCACCGGAAGAACAATTATACAGTGCAATATTGTGACCCATATATTCTATGATGCCCAACAGATATAACACTATTTATTTGGTTTGCAGATAGATGCTTGGACAGCTAAAGTAGTCCAAGTTTGTTCTGAACCGAACAAGACTAAAATGATACATCTGCAAGCATTTAACAAGTACTCCATACGTAATAACTTCAGATTGAAAGATCTCGATAAACTTTCAGCATAGTTGGCCTTTCTTTGGGGGAAGGAATTAGGCACTCAAACGCCACAAATATACACCGTCTCAAGTCTTCTGCCTCCTCAGCTTCGGGTTTTGGAAGTTGTTTGTCCAAAATTTCTTCCAGATGCAACTGGTCATCACCAAGTGAAGAAAGAAAATTTTGCACGTCTCCTGGATGTTTGCCCATCAACACCTCAAGCACCACAACACCAAAGCTATATACATCACATTTCTCCGTGACTAGAGAAGTGTATGAACATTCTGCATCCAACACAGCAGAATAGGGTTAGTTAGGCGTATGCATCAGTGCATTCTATCGAACACAACTTACTAGAGAATACAGTATTGTACCGAATAAACATACCAGGTGCAATGTAGCCATAGGTCCCCGCTAGTGCGCTCCAATTCGAAGAATCGGGTTTTAACATTCTTGCAATACCAAAATCCGAGACAAATGCCTTGTAGTCAGCATCTAATAAGATGTTTCTGCTTGTGATGTCCCTATGAATTATGGGTGGGTGAACATCATGATGGAGATAAGTGATGGCTTGAGCCACATCTCTTATTAGAGCTATCCTCCTTTCCCAGTGGAACTGGGATGCTAGTTCTTCATTGCTTAAGATAGAAGCTAGATTTCCTCTCTCTATGAATTGGCATACAAGGAACCTGTACCGTGGATGAGAACAATAGCCATACAACTTGACGATGCTGTGTTGGCGAACTTTTGTTAACATTTCAATCTCATGCTGGAATATTTCTTCATCATGTGCCTCCTCATCGCCTGCATGGAGTTTCTTTACAGAAACCACTTGTTCATCTTGAAGTTCTGCCTTATAAACACTACCGTATGATCCTTCTCCAACGCAGTGCTTCTCATCAAAATTTTCAGTTGCATTCATAATATCCTCAAATGCCATTCTGCCATCAAAGCTCCATACAGAGAAAACACCCCCTTTGCTCACATCATCAGTACTTTTAGATGCTTTCTTGCGACAGATCAAAAGGGCAACTACACCTGCTACTATCGAAATAGTAGCGACAAACATAGGAAGACCCACTGGTAGTATAATCTTTTGATGTTTCCGACTATGATCTGCAAGTTGCAAATCACAAGGAGACAGGCCAACAAGGTTTCCACAGAGGCCTTTGTTGTGGAGAAACCATTCAGCTGATGCATTGTGAATACCATTTGGGACAGAGCCTTCTAGGAAGTTGTATGATACATCAAATACTGTTATGCTTTGCATGCTTGCGATGGAGATGGGGATGCCACCACTGAATTGATTGTGTGAGAAGTTCACAAACATCAGCATCTCAAGTTTGCTGAGTTCCGATGGTATCGGTCCACTGAGACTATTCATACTAAGATCAAGCATGCTTTGAAGGGAAGCTAAATGGCCCAAACTACCAGGAAGACTTTCACTAAGGCTGTTGTTATTCATATGTAATGACTGCAGTTTCAAACAATTACCGATCTCTTCTGGTATTTTACCACTTAACTGGTTGCTTGAGAAATCAAGAATCTCAAGATTACTAAGTTGGCCGATTTGCTTAGGGATCTCGCCAGATAGTCGATTGCTTCCTAGATCCATCCAATAGAGGCTGCTTCAACAACAACAACAATAACAACAAAGCCTTTAGTCCCAAACAAGTTGGGGTAGGCTAGAGGTGAAACCCATAAGATCTCGCAACCAACTCATGGCTCTGGCACATGGATAGCAAGCTTCCACGCACCCCTGTCCATAGCTAGCTCTTTGTCGATACTCCAATCCTTCAGGTCTCTCTTAACGGACTCCTCCCATGTCAAAATCGGTCGACCCCGCCCTCTCTTGACATTCTCCGCACGCTTTAGCCGTCCGCTATGCACTGGAGCTTCTGGAGGCCTGCGCTGAATATGCCCAAACCATCTCAAACGATGTTGGACAAGCTTCTCCTCAATTGGTGCTACCCCAACTCTATCTCGTATATCATCATTCCGGACTCGATCCTTCCTCGTGTGGCCACACATCCATCTCAACATACGCATCTCCGTCACACCTAACTGTTGAACATGTCGCCTTTTAGTCGGCCAACACTCCGCGCCATACAACATTGCGGGTCGAACCGCCGTCCTGTAGAACTTGCCTTTTAACTTTTGTGGCACTCTCTTGTCACAGAGAATGCCAGAAGCTTGGCGCCACTTCATCCATCCGGCTTTGATTCGATGGTTCACATCTTCATCAATACCCCCATCCTCCTGCAACATTGACCCCAAATACCGAAAGGTGTCCTTCCGAGGTACCACCTGGCCATCAAGGCTAACCTCCTCCTCCTCACAGCTAGTAGTACTGAAACCGCACATCATGTACTCGGTTTTAGTTCTACTAAGCCTAAACCCTTTCGATTCCAAGGTTTGTCTCCATAACTCTAACTTCCTATTTACCCCCATCCGACTATCGTCAACTAGCACCACATCATCCGCAAAGAGCATACACCATGGGATATCTCCTTGTATACCCCTTGTGACCTCATCCATCACCAATGCAAAAAGATAAGGGCTCAAAGCTGACCCCTGATGCAGTCCTATCTTAATCGGGAAGTCATCGGTGTCGACATCACTTGTTCGAACACTTGTCACAACATTATTGTACATGTCCTTGATGAGGGTAATGTACTTTGCTGGGACTTTGTGTTTCTCCAAGGCCCACTACATGACATTCCGCGGTATCTTATCATAGGCCTTCTCCAAGTCAATGAACACCATATGCAAGTCCTTCTTATGCTCCCTATATCTCTTCATAAGTTGTCGTACCAAGAAAATGGCTTCCATGGTCAACCTCCCAGGCATGAAACCAAACTGATTTTTGGTCACGCTTGTCATTCTTCTTAAGCGGTGCTCAATGACTCTCTCCCATAGCTTCATTGTATGGCTCATCAGCTTAATTCCACGGTAATTAGTACAACTCTGAACATCCCCCTTGTTCTTGAAGATTGGTACTAATATACTCCGTCTCCATTCTTCTGGCATCTTGTTTGCCCGAAAAATGAGGTTGAAAAGCTTGGTTAGCCATACTACCGCTACGTCCCCGAGACCTTTCCACACCTCAATGGGGATACAATCAGGGCCCATCGCCTTGCCTCCTTTCATCCTTTTTAAAGCCTCCTTCACCTCAGACTCCTGGATGCGCCGCACAAAACGCATGCTGGTCTCATCAAAGGAGTCATTCAGTTCAATGGTAGAACTCTCATTCTCCCCATTGAACAGCTTGTCGAAGTACTCCCGCCATCTATGCTTAATCTCTTCGTCCTTCACCAAGAGTTGGCCTGCTCCGTCCTTGATGCATTTGACTTGGCCAATATCCCTCATCTTCCTCTCCCGGATCTTAGCCATCTTATAGATGTCCCTTTCACCTTCCTTCGTGCCTAACCGTTGGTAGAGGTCCTCATATGCCCGACCCCTTGCTTCACCAACAGCTCGCTTTGCGGCCTTCTTCGCCATCTTGTACTTCTTTATGTTGTCTGCACTCCTATCCAGGTATAGGCGTCTGAAGCAATCTTTCTTCTCTTTAAGCGCCTTCTGGACATCATCATTCCACCACCAGGTATCGTTATCTTCGCTTCTCCTTCCCCTGGACACTCCAAACTCCTCCGAGGCCACCTTACGAATGCAAGTCGCCATCTTCATCCACACATTGTCCGCATCCCCTCCTTCCTCCCAAGGGCCCTCCTTAAATACCCTCTCCTTGAACACCTGAGCTACCTCCCCCTTGAGCTTCCACCACTTCGTTCTAGCGACCTTGGCACGCTTATCCCGCTGGACACGAATCCGAAAGCGGAAGTCAGCAACCACCGGCTTATGCTGGGGTACAACACTCTCCCCAGGTATCACCTTACAGTCTAGGCACGCACGCCTATCTTCTCTTCTCGAGAGGATGAAATCAATCTGGCTAGAGTGTTGGCCACTACTAAAAGTCACCAGATGTGATTCTCTCTTTCTAAAGAGGGTGTTAGCTACAATCATGTTGTAGGCTAGAGCAAAGCTTAAGACATCTTCTCCTTCTTGATTCCTGATGCCATAGCCAAAGCCCCCATGCGCCCCTTCAAAACCTGTGTTAGATGTACCCACGTGGCCATTGAGGTCTCCTCCTATGAAGAGCTTCTCACCAATCGGTACACTCCTAACCATGTCTTCCAAGCCTTCCCAGAACTCCCTCTTGGTGTTCTCATTGTGGCCTACTTGCGGGGCATATGCGCTGATAACATTGAGAACCAAGTCCTCAGCTACCAGCTTGACCAGGATAATCCGGTCCCCACGTCTCCTGACGTCTACCACTCCATACTTGAGGCTCTTGTTGATCAAGATGCCTACGCTATTTCTGTTTGCAGCCGTCCCCGTGTACCACAGCTTGAAGCCGGTATCCTCCACCTCCTTCGCCTTCTGTCCTCTCCATTTAGTTTCTTGGACGCAAAGGATATCAACACCTCTCCTCACTGCTGCATCAACTAGCTCCCGAAGCTTCCCTGTCAGAGACCCTACGTTCCAGCTACCTAAGCGAATCCTCCTAGGCTCGGCTAGCTTCCTTACCCTTCGCACTCGTCGAGTCAAATGCGAAGACCCTTGCTCATTTTCCACTACATCCGGGCGCCGATGTAGCGCGCCACTAAGGATGCGACGACCCGATCCTCGCTCACTTGCCACCGTATCCGGATCAAGATACGGCGCGCCACTTGGGGGGTGACGGCCCGGCCCTTGCCCATTTTCCACCACACCCGGGTTCCGATGTGGCGCGTCGCTGAGAGGGTTACGCCCCAACGAAAATCTTTTGGGTTTCATCTCCATAAGAGTGGCTGAGTTTTTACGTTGGCTCGCCAAGCCTATCACAACCCTCCTCCTTTACCCGGGCTTGGGACCGGCTATGTTGAGACAAAATAGAGGCTGCTTAACTTGCCAATTTCCGATGGTATTTCACTAGTCAACCTATTGAAACGCATATCGAGAATTGCAAGATTTTTTAGCTCCCCAAGATCAGATGGTATACTGCCTTCTATCATGTTGTGTCCAAAATCAACACTTGTCAAGTTTTGACACAAGCCCCATTTTGGCGAGAGCCGCCCTACAAATTTGTTTGAAGATAAACTAATGTCATTGAGATGCGGATACACCCCAAATGATTTAGTTATGTCTCCCTCGATCTGATTTTTGTCAATTCCAAGGGATATTAGTGAACTGCAATCCCTCAAACCTTTTGGGACAGGACCATCCAGATTATTATCAAAAATTTGGAAATCTTGTAGCTTTTTACTTTGGCACAACTCTGGCAAGTGTCCTGTCAGCTGGTTGTCAGCCAGCAAAACCAGGACCAAATTGGTAAGGTTGGAGAGTGTCAAAGGCAAAGGGCCAGAGAGCTGATTGGTGAATAGTCGCATTTCTGTCATGCTCGCCAATTTTCCAAAACTTTGAGGGATTGGGCCGGACAATTGGTTTTCGTGGGATGACAGTGATTCCAAGTATGCCAAATTTCCAAGCTCATTCGGCATTTCTCCTGAGAGATTATTGGTATGTATTACTATTTGTCTAAGTGAAGACATGTTCCCAATACTTGACGGCCCTGGTCCAACTATGAAATTTTCAGAGAGGTCAAGGATTTCTAGATTCACGAGATTTCCGAACTCATGAGGGATGGATTTGGTTATGTGGTTACCCCAAAGAGAAAAATAGGCCAGTGAAGTAAGATTTCCAGCAACACAAAAGGGAACAGTGCCGGTCAAATGGTTCTCTGACAAATCAAATTCAATCAAGCTCGAGAGCGTCCCTAGCTCTACCGGGATCTGACCAGTGTGCTGGTTCCGATATAGGTACAAGAATGTGAGCATTGTGAGGTTTCCAAGGGAGGGCGGAATAGCACCGTTCAGCCTGTTTTTTTGCAAGTATAGCACTTGTAGGGTTTGGACTTGTCCTAGCTCTTCAGGTATGGGTCCTGACAGACGATTATCAGAAAGACCAAGAGCGTTGAGGTTCCTCAGGTTTGCAAAGGAGGAAGGTATTTGGCCAGAAAGGATATTCCAGCTCAAATCCATCTCTCTCATGTTCTGAAGCTATCCTAGGTTCCATGGGACGCTACCTGAGAGCCTATTGCCAGGTAGATAGAGAAAAGCAAGTCTTGAGAGATTACCGAAGGCAGGAGGGATTTGGCCAGCGAGATTGTTGCTGGAGAGGTCCAGATGTGCAAGCCTCCCAAGGTTGCAGATTGTTGCAGGTATGTGCCCACTAAGCTGATCACCAGAGAAGTTGAGGGTGGAAAGCATGGAAAGAGAACCGATGGCAGGTGGGATGGCACCAGAGAGATGATGATTGTCGCTGAGGTCGAGGTTGATGAGGTAAGGGAGCGACTGGAATTTCAGGGCGTCCAGCTGCCCTACAACACCGGCACCGCCAAGGGCAATTCCTCTGATGACCTTCACCATGGTTCCTCCGCGTGACCGGGTGTCGCCGCAGGACGCAGGTGATGCCGGTCCAGTTGCATGGGTACATGCCGTCGTCTCTCCAGGTTCCTAGCTGGTGCTTCGAGGAGTACTTGACAGATGATTTCCAGTGGAGAAGTGCCGCGGCTTGGGCCCTCAGCGAAGTGCCTCGGTGTGTGGTGCGGCCCTCGGCTTGCTTGGAAGTAAGGAGAAGCAGCAGTAGCAGGGCAAGCGAGAGAATCAGGCGAAGCGGCAGCGGTGGGGGCACCGTGGAGTTCACCATGGTCGATCTCACTGGCTATATATGTACTATGGCTGCATGCATAGATGGAAAAAGATCACATAAACTGGATGTACTACTCCCGTAAGTCTGACGCACACAAGCGAAAAGGCGTGATGGTTGAAAGACATTTAGAGAATGGTGCACCTCTGGTTGCTGTCCGGAGAGCAGAATGCGTGGGCCGGCCATTTCTGCTTGGTGTTACCAGTAGCTGTGTTAGTGTCACTGTGTGTGAGCTCCAGCTGAGATGGGTTTGCCCAGCTGCTTTGTGGTCCAGGGTTTTATAAACACATTTACAGCAGCCTCACACACCTTCGCATTTGCTTCTCATCTGCGCCGAAGACCTTGACTCCACCCAAGTCCGGCTAATTCTCCTCTGCATCGAAGACCTTGACTCCACTTAAGTCCAGCTACTTCTCATTGGCATGGCAGCGAAGACCTTGACTCCATCCTGGCTACATAATTTCCACACGGAACCGCATAGGGACGACGTTGATCGATGTGCGACAAAAAATCCGGTTTACTGGTCTAAGGCTCTCGGTTTCAGATAATTGCGCCTGGTTCTCTGTCATGAGTGTGCTCGTGCATGCTTTCAGCCCGTTCAACGGAAACAGAAAATATCGTGCTTGTCATGTGAACATGAGCTATTACTTGGTTTTCTTGGATAAATTGGCGCGTCAACAGGTCAAGTGAACTTAACTGTCTCTCTTTTTGTGGTAACTTTTTGTGTTTGACATGGACACTGAAAATGCCATTTCTTCCACGGCTAGCTATGCTGATGGTGAATACCACTTAATGCTGTTCAAACAGAGGAAATGTGCATCTAGAAGTGTCATTAGTTGGGCTATGGCAGAAGGTGGTTTGAACTGACTTCCAGAGGTAGTGACTGTGCCTCCTTTTCATCCTATAGAGCATTACTAAGAGGAGAGAGTAAGCAATCCCATTCAAAGTACCAACAGTAGGTCTTTATCTTGTTACTAAGGCCTACAAAATTATCTGATTGTTGCATATATGATTGATTTGTGGTGATTTACATGGACTTTCACTTTGTGGCCTTCATTGTTTTGTTAGAACTCGATGCATTCCCGTCCTGGCAACAATAATCCTCGCCTGATATCTACTAGCTCAAAATTTTAGAAACCCCTCTGAATAGTTCTTCTATCAGATACGTACTAGTACTAACCGGCTAATTCACTAACTGAAGAGACTCACCAAAATGGCCGTAGATTGACCAGGCCGCTGGAATCACTTAAACTTGCTGCGGCAACCAATAGGTGTGAGGAGAAGGTCACCTAGCGGCGAAATGCAGCCACCAGTGCCGCCGGTGAGGAGCGGCAGAGGGGCGCCCCCTCCTCCCACCTGAGGCCGCGCCGCTTCCGTGCCATCACGACGACTAGTCTCGTCTTGCGGCGAGCCATCTCCAAACGTGCGGATCCTGGCGGCAGATGGAGTCGGGTGAGGACGTGGGTGCGGTGGGGAAGATGGCCGGCGACATGCCGGAACATGGAGGAAGAGGCGGCGGGTTGGGACAGAAGGGGAGGGGAAAGTGGCCCGATTAACCGCGGTTGGCCCGATTAACCGCGGTTGGCCCCACATCCCCAATGGGCGATTTATTTTATCGCCTTGTGTTTTTTTAGGCCTGTGTTTATTTTTATTGAAGTGCGCCGATTTGAAGTTCGGGATAAAGTGAGAATCCATAATTATATTTAGTAATTTCTTTCATAAAACTTTTAAGTTATGAAAAATTCACATGTGAATATAGATATACATATATGTAATTTTTTTAATAGATACAGGGAGTACTTTAACTTGCAGACTAAAAACCAAATTTGTAGATTTATAATAGCAAGATGTAGCTTTGCTATTTTCAGATCCATATACATTTTTTTTGTACCCAGGACATGTACTCCCTCCATTCACAAATATAAGATGTTTTAAATATTTTAATATAACCTACATATGAACTGAAATGAGTGAACAAATACATTTGTGTCTATGAACATCCGATTCACAAAAAACCTAGAACATCTTATATTTGTGAACAAAGAGAGTATTATATACAGAAAAAATATAGGCACACAAATTACATGCACACGTACATTTTGTTGACACGTCAAAATATTGTATTTTCTTTACCCATGCTCACTACAGCGCAAGATGCGAAACGCATTTTTCAGTTTTGGTTTGATTCTTGATCATATGTCCTTCTTTACTTTTCAATTGATCAAACACCCATCTTTACTTTACCATCTTGATCATTTACCCTATTTTATTACCTAAAATATTTTTCAAGTTTGTAGCCTAGTATTACCAAGCAAAAGGGCATTCCTACCCCTCGGAGGTTCTTCCTCCGTTCCGGCTTATAAGATGTTTTGAATATTTTGATATGAACTACATGTATACACTATGAACAAACACATCAAAATACATCTATATACATCCGATTCAAAAAAAAACACAGAACATCTTATAATTCAAAACATAGGGAGTAATTTACAATTTCATACGCGGGAGAGCAATATCGTTGACCACAAAACCATAATGGTGGCTTGGGCCATGGTGTGGTTGGCACTCAGTGGAACTCTACATCACAAGTTTGAGGGAATCGCCATGTGATGGTGGCTAGAATTGCCTGTTTTTCTACACCATGGAGAGGTGTTTCATTATTATTCACAAAAGAAGGGTCAAGCAGCGCGTGCATTGCCTTGCGGACGATACAATATCAAGAAGACAAACAACACAACGTTGATCCCTGGATTAGCAACCACACCCACAACGATCGAAAATAAGAGAATTCGCGCAGGCACATGCGCCTCCATAGCACAACAACAACTTCAGAGTCGTCTGGGCCAACATTACTTGTCTCAAATTCATCTCAAGAATGTGGTAGAACTAATAATTAATGCACTCTTAACTTGGTCCCAACTTTTCTCCTTCAAACTTGGCAGGGAGTAATGTACCAGTAAACTTGCTGCCAATTTATAGGGAAGGTTGGCTAGAGACGATCTATTATTAACTTGATGCAACTTTTACCAATTTGACTGGATCAATGTAGCCGTAAATTGGTCTAACTTTGGACAAGATCTGGTTCAAACTAATTATGTACTTCTTTGATTTTCCGTTGGGTTGACTCTGAACAAGTAGAGCACCGAGTAAACAGCACACAACGCAGATGAAGTCGTAAAATTTATACGAAAGTTGGCCTAACTCTCTGCGTTCATCTTTTCCTACACAAAGGAAATGGTCGCGGTTTCTTTGACGCTGCTGACAAAGATTTCTCTGTGACAATTTCTAGTTGCATGAATAATTTTACGATGTATTCCTTCCGTTCCAAAATACTTGTCGACGGAGGGAGTAGTTTGTGTGGCGGCATCTGTTGCGGTAATACGCTTCAATGATTACTTACAATCTGAGGTTCAGGCGCAAAGGGGATGTAGCTCAGATGGTAGAGCGCTCGCTTAGCATGCGAGAGGTACGGGGATCGATACCCCGCATCTCCACTTTCTTTATCCTTTTTCCCAGTCCATTTGGTTGTTTCTTTGTAACGCACTCCACTTTTTTTTACAGCAAAATCTTTATTTTGCTATTACAATTGCACATCTTTTTCCAGCCAAAGTAACAGCGTATGCAATGAGACGGCTGTCAAAAAATATGTTAAAGAAACAAGCCAGCATATGCATTCACATGACAGGATTATGCAAGAGAATAGCAAATTTCACAAAGGAACCACTCTTATTGTTCTTTTGAATATTCACATGATCACAAATCTACCAGGACAGCAGAGTCGACAAGGTATAACAATTAGCTAACCCGAAGTGCATCATCATATCCATGAAATAGTTGACAAAAAAAAAACCAAAAAGCAGCAGATGGAAAACTCAGCACATTATTAGAGGGGAAGCATCAGAATGGGGCAGGGGATGAACTCAGCCAGTAAATTCCCATCGACTTGCTTTGAGTGGATTGCCTCCATGCTAAGGACGACCAGGTCTAACTCCAAATCATCTGCGACCTCTGCGATGATAGCTGTTGGCTTCTTTCCTTCTCCAAGGCGCTCCATCAACCCAAACTCTGTAAATCCACCTGCACAGAAGCACAAATATATCAGCACGACTGTTCGGAAATGGCATCACTCGGAAACAAGCGGCAATACAAAACACTGATAACCCTTGGTGAGGTTATTTCTCAATATTGGGTCTGTAATATGTAGTTAGACTCTTTTCCTTTTTCCCAAAACGGTATGCAATGTTTTTAATATTACAGTAAGAACCATACAGCTACACAGAGTGCTCCTTCACCGAGTAGATTTGACTGATATCATAACATGTTTCTAGATCTTCAGGGGGATAACTACAATCCCTGGTTCCATTATCAAATGAAACCAGGTGTTACAACATCAAAGTTCTCTTACAAACGAAAAATAAGAAGCAAAAGGTTATAACACTAACTACAGACCATACAAGTTCAGGAAGGCAATCAGAACGCGAAAGAAAATACAAAACCTCATCACTGGCCACAGATTGGGAGTGATATCATACTATTGCTTTTCTATCGTTGTAGTAGGAGCTCCACTTTGTTGATTAAGTGTTCAATTTACATATAGTTATTTGCTTATTTTTACCAAAAATGAAACCGCATTTCTTATAATAAGATTGAACTAGTAGGCAAATGCAATTTATCGTGTACAAAAACTCATGTACTGTACTTGATAAGGGGAGGACCGTTAAATCAAAAGAAATAAATGTAATGGTTCTAACCTTCAGAAAGATGCCATCTAATGCTTGACATTTGAGTATCATGCTCTGGGAATGACTCCTTTGGCTTATCATCAATAACTGAAATGAAGAGTAGAATTAGAGTGCAGCGGAATTTAAGCTATGTAAACGAATATGCGCAATAGCTTAAGCACAGAAAAGGTAATGTTATAAAGGAATTGAGATCATACCAACTACTGTAATGTTTGCTCCATACTTCTTGGCTAGAGAAGTGGTTGTTGCTGCAGCCTGTTACATCATCAGCCATTATGGGTAAGCCACTATTTCCAGTGTATCCGAACTCAAGTTAAAAGGAACAAATGTTGCACTCCATGAAAGAAAAAAGACCAGCTAAGAATCCTTCATTCGAAGATTATAAAACTATGGTGTGACTAATGGGAAAAATAAAACTGCCCTGGAAATTGGCCACAATGTTTCGAGTCCTCTAAATTATCAATGCAGTGTATATGATGCTTTACCAATGAAACACAAACTAACTAGTAAATCTGAAAAAGGAAACAGACCTGTCTTGTGCCTTCTGAAAGGTAAGGGTTGCGGTCAGTGATCGGAAGTAGAACATGCTTAACTTGGGAGAGAGCATCAATCGCTAAAGCACTTGCAGATTCATTCACTTCAGCCCTGACTGGTTACAAACAAAGTCGCAAACAATCATCAAATGGTAGGCCCCAATTCAACCAGCTCTGGCATCGTACCTCTTTCAAACATAAATAAAAAATAAGGATGTTCCTTAATTTTTCTCTACAGGTGCTGTTAGTTTTCAGTTTGATGACAATCACCACAATTTTCCCTGGTAAGAGGAATCCACTAACTTGGGTGCAGCAAACGAAGGCTACTACATTGGCAGGATTCAGGTACCAGCAGAAGTATAAGTAGGATTAGTGAGGCACTCAACATTCTAACATCGAAGCAAAGTCATCACTGGCAAGCCGACTTCAAATCAGAGCGAAGGAACTAATCTTTTTTTAGGGGCGAAAGAACTAATCTTAGCACACATAGTGACAGCACGAAGCCACGGCCTAGCAATTAGCGTATAAATCTCAGGCCGATTCCAGTGAGAACAGTTTGAGCACGAGTTGGTTGAAGCGTAGACATATACCTCCGTGCCGGGCTCCCCGGCGCCGCAGCGAGACGCCGCCCTTCCTGTTGACCGGCGGGAAGGCGAGCTCCGGGGCGTGGCTCGCGCGGACGCCGGAGGCCGGCGCGGGCAGGAGCGAGCTGGCGAAGGCCATGAGGGGTCGGTTGGATCGGAGCGGCAGCGGCAGGCTTCTGGAGGGGCGTGGAAAGGGGGAGAGACGACGGAGACGGAGACGGCGACGAAGTGACGAGCGACTCCGCAGGTGGTGTTCTAAGTGGGCCCGGGCCCGCTCGGCGACGACGCTGGATGGATAAGTTTCTCTTTATTTATTTATTTTTCTTGCTAGCAACCTTTTCGTGTGTGTTGTTCTACCAATCTTTTTGAAGGAGGAAGGAGGGAGGCGCACCGGAGCCAGACAACCTAACTATTGATCGAAGACATAATTCAAAATCTTCAAAAAAAAACAATCTTTTTGTGTGTCTTTAAAAAAATTATTTTGTGTGTGTTCCTTTCGTTGAATCATAGACGGGCTTTAGGCCCATATGAACAATGATTTCTGGTTAATTTTGAGCCCATGTGGGATATGACAGGTGGTGGGAAATTTAGTACCATCTTACTAGTTGAGGAGAGTTGAGACGGACGAGACTTGCCTGCTCCCCGCTTGTGCGCCCATCCGTGCTCCCGCATATGTGGCTTGATTTGATTGAAACAAAATAAGGCCCGGCCCCACCCCCTTAAAATCAGGGGGGAGATGATTAGATTAAAAAAAAAGGAAAAAAGACAGCCATAGGATGAGGTGGGAGCACGGATGGGAGCATGAGGAGGGAGCATACAAGCCGGATCCGAGTTGAGACCATTTTATAAGGGCTGCTCTACCACTTGCCATTGGGAGCTTGGGAAAAGGAGAGTTGAGACCTCTTTCTAAGCGTTGCTGTATCACCACCACTTGCAACCTGCCTACCCCTTTGTAGATGCTACGCAGAAACTTTCACTTAGGGCCTGTTCGGAACCTCTCCCAACTCTATCAACTTCAAAGATTCAGCTTCTCGACCTGGCTTCTCGCTCCACGCAGCGATTCATGTGCGTTCGGCAGCGAAATCAGCTTCTCTCTCGTCACCTTGGGCTGGCAACCGTTGTTGGCCTGTGTAGTGCCACACTGGGCCGGCTTGGAGGCAGGCTGGCGGCCCAAAAAGGTAGGAGACACCTCTTTCTGTTCGAGGAATAAGCACGAGCGAGGAAAGAAGGGAGGAGAGAGACTAATCAAAACGTTTTCCTTGACTTGGCGGTGGCACTCCTTGTAATTTGAGTGAACTCCGCGTTTTAGAAGATTTCCTGGAGTACCGATTTCCCAGCTTCGCTAACTCCTCGAAAAATACATTACGACCCGTTGGGACTTCTCGAAGCCAGCTTCTCATAGCTATAACGTTCGGCTCAGCTCTGCGCCTGGAGTTTATGAAGCGCGGAGCTGGATGACTTCCAACGGGCCTTAGTCATAGAACTTAAAGTTCGGAGGCTAATTACTAGTGAAGCCGAGGAAGCCATTAACACTTCGGCCAATTTTATGAAAGACCCACGAGGTAACCTCTATAGATCTATAGTTTGACACAGTTATCGGATCGCTGACTAGTGTGCGCTCATTGTGACAGTCAGTTTTTGGCTTTCTCCACTGAGGTACTTTTTTTAACATCAGTACAGACACAAGTGCTCATATACACACGCATACACTCACCCCTATGAACGTGCACACGCACACCCTACCCCTATGAGCATCACCGAAAGACTGAGCCGGCATATCATCTTGAAATTTACGAAGTCACCGTAGGCACCTCGTCATCGACGGGAACGTCTCCTCCCACTAAATGCGCATCGGCAGAAATCCTGAAATAAATCCAAGAATAAATGCGAGCACCAGGATTTGAACCCTGATGGACTGGGGATACCACAGTCCCTCTAACCATCCAACCACAGATTGGTTCGCTCCACTGAGGTACTTGACTAGTTAAATCGGAAGTACAATCACAATGGTTCTCCCTTTGCACACCTAGCCAAACAAAGCGGAACGTAGGAGGCAAGCACAGGAGCCAGACAACCTAACTATTGACCGAAGACACAATTCAAAACCGATGCATATAAAGCAATATCCGAGAATGTTTTGCTGAGGACACCATGTAATACCTCGGCTTCTGGTGGGTTCGGCACTAGCTACAGTTCCCGTTGATATTGCCAATGCTTTAAAGATGTCCAGCGTTTGTACTGCGAGAGTTATGCCAGAGACACACAAATAGGTTAAAAGTGTCACAAACTCAGAAAACAAAAAACTCACATACAAATTTTACGCCTAATTTAAATCAAGTTTTTGGTGTCAATCAAAAATTGGTCTAATTTTTTTCTGCTTCTATCGTGCTTTAATACGACACATCTGATCTCTAAACTTCAAGTAGGTCAGCCTTCAGCTTCATCCTCCTTACCACGAAGGTGGAGTGTTTCTCTGAGGCTAGTTTAGCAAACTAAACTCGAGCGGCTTTAGAGAGAAGCCAGGCTATCCGGCTATTGATCATACACTCGAGTCAAGAAAGGAGTGGCAGAAAAAGACTTTGCAACGACTTAGAAGAAAACAATTATTATAAAACAACTCTATAAATTTTAAGAGCCCCTAGTTAACCTAGGAAAAGAAGTGTTTTTTAACAAACAATATTTTAACGAATACATTTTAACATAAATATAATGCTTGGTCGAACTGAATAAAAAATAATAAGAATTTAGTAAATTTGAGCATGAAAGCGACTTAGCTGGTTAGTGTGCTTGGTGTTGATGAAGAGGTTGTAAGGACATTTCCCTACTTTGTGTTTTGGATGATGATGACAACCCTTTGTTGGTCTAACCTTATGCTAAGTGTTCCAGGTTTCGATTTTTAGGCCTTCTTCGGTTAGCTATTCTCTCTGAAAGAAAAAGATCGAAGACGGTGTTTTCTACATATTTTTATCTCTTTTGGTCATATGGAACCCGTACTATCAAGAGGGAATCCACATTGGGAAGTGTTGGGGGCATCATTTCACATACACTTACCTCACCCCTCTCTTGCCTTCCTAAACTATGAGAGAGAGCTCTTCCCCTTTCTTTCCTACTGCTTACTGTGGGTTCCCAGCGGTTGTACCGCTCCCTGGAGCGGTTGTACCGCTGGGTCTTGGCGCTGACCAGTTTTGATCGAGTGGTTGTACCACTGCTTCCGGGCGATGGTACCGCCAACATGCTCAGCAAAGACTAGGGCGGTTGTTCCAGCCAGGCACCGCCCAAGTACCGGTCAGGCTTCTGTTTTGATGTGGTACTCGGGCGGTGGTGGCCCGGTTGGTCTGGTCGTACCGGTACCACCGGTGTCCGGAGCGGTTCTACCGCTCAGGACTTAGCCGCCCGAGCGCTCAAAGCCATGCGGTTGCACCGGCCTTGTACCGCTCGACTACCGCACTCAGGGGTGACTCCCTTCTGTTCCTATGCGGTGGTTGAGCGGTGGCTGGGTGTCAGTGTACTAGAGTAGGGGTACCCTAGTATCCCGAACTCGTGCACGGGCAGTTGCAGCGCCCCGCGGCGAGGCTTGCCGGGTGACCGCCAAGACCCTCCGTGGTTCCCTTGAAGACCATTCAAGAACAAAGTACTCAAACCAAGACCCCGACAAGAGGAGCTTGCCGGGAAGGCCAACCAAGGCCCCGGCAAGAGGATCTTGCCGGGAAGAGACAAGGCCCCGGCAAGAGGAGCTTACCGGGAAGACCACTCAAGGCATACCAAGAAAGCTTGCCGTGACGCGCCCTGCGTCCCGGCAAGATCCGGCGAGCGACAAGCTTCCGGACGCGACAAGACGAGCTCCTTGCCGCGGGAAACCCCCACTTCGTGCCCGCGCTCCAGCACACCTGCTAACGTGTCGCTTTGGGACTCTCCCAAGCACACCTGGCAGGAGGCCGTGCAGCTAGGGGTACGTGGTGGCAAGCGGAGATGAAGAGAAGCCCATCGTGGCAAACGGTGGCGCTCCTAACAGTCACCTTTTGCACTGTTTAGGAGACTCAGACAGGCATTTAATGCCCTTGTCCCCTGCCGTCAGAGTTAGGTAGGGTGCACTGTATCCACAGTAGCGGTAGCTGCATCTACCGCATCCTTTTCCATTTCTACCCTTTTAGTCTACGTTGCCACCTGTGGGTAACCCCTTAAAAGTATAAAAGGAGGCCCAAGCGCAACGTAGAAGGGGTTCGGCCAGTTCGGCTCATTCAACACCAGGAACACTCTCACGCTCAGTCTGGCAGCGTCCATCGCTCCTGAGCAAGAATCCAATATACACAAACAAGCAACAGTAGGGTTTTACGCATCCGTGCGGCCCGAAGCTGGGTAAAATCGCCCGCGTGTACTGCCTCGATCCGCTCTTTGTGCACTCTCCGCCCCCCATCGAACCGAAAGGGGCCCTGTCCCCATAGGTGTTGGTGGAATCAGCATCCCCCCGACATCTCTGGTGCGCCAGGTAGGGGAGCGTCGAGATTGTGCGAATCCGATCCGGCGTGCACACAAGGCTCAGCTGTTCTTCATCGTCATGGCTCCTAGGGAGCGGGCGAGTAAAAGAACGGCGCCAGTGCGGCAACAGAAAAAGCTAAGTCGTGCGAAACTTTAGATATTTCCTTTCTATATAAGGTTATCCGCCTCGGAGATCTTGTTCTTTGTACGGAAAACCTGTGCGCTGAGGAATCAACTCGTAGCTAGTTGCGCCCTTACTCTGTTTCGAGTCCGCTCAACAACTTAAGTGAGCTGCTAGCGCCCTTACTTTGCTTCGAGTCCACTCAGCAACTTAAGTGAGCCGCTAGCGCCCTTACTTTGTTTCGAGTCAGCTCAACAACTTAAGCGAGCTGCAACTAGTTGCGACAAGATTGCTTGTCGGTAGCGACCCCGCCAGCAGGCTGCTGAAGTTCCGCACTCGGCGCTCGCGGCAAGGGTGCCTGCACCGGCAAGTTTCCCTAGAAAGCGTAGGGTGGACGTACAAAGAGAGGTTGAACAGGGAGATAGCATGCGCTATTTATTTGAGATTTCTGCATAGACCTGTATGCCGAGGAGCCTTCTCGGGGCTAGTTGCGCTCCATGTTGCCTCGAGTCCGCTCGGCAACTTGTGCGGTTGCGCTAGAA